TTAAAAGAAACACCGTAAAAACTAACAAGAACTGATATTGGAAGGGAAAAAGAAGAAGAAATTATTAGAAAGAGATAGCAAAAGTCCAAAGGGCAGAAAGCAAGAAGAAGGGAAAAGAAACAAAAGAGAAAAAAAAGAATTGGCTTCCGACCCTCCTTGCAACAGATATAAATAACAATATACCTAAACTCTTGCTCTGAATTCACAAATCACTTCCGTTATTTCTGTTAACCCGCATTATTTCTAAGCAACGAATCCATACAGCCAATTGCGCGTCTTTTCATGGGTATGAACAGTGAGCGGATGGCTCTGGGTTTCATTCAGCCCCTTCTCCAGAAGTTCCCCTACATGGCGTCATCGTTGGGGGCCGGCAGATTGCATCGCCGTGAGGGGGGGGCTGAAATGGGAGGGCTGCGGCGGCTGGGCCTCGTGTTATTTGAGTCTGTGTGCCTTCCGCTGCGGGTCAGAGCAGGGTGCCCCTGCCCCCTTAATGGCGGACGTGGATTTGGATCCCTCTTATGGGCGGTGGGACGTGGAGCCTCTTTCAGCTTGGGGGGCTTGAGCTGGCCCTTCTTGGCTGGCTGCGGATGTAATCTTTGCTGCTTTTTGCTGCTCGCTCAGTCCTCCTTCTGTTGTGTAGAGCCATAAGCCCGAAAAAGAATGGCCGGTGAAGAACCTGAAAATCTACCTGGGGATTAAAAAGAAAGTCCGTCCGCCCACTTGGTAAGTGGACCAGACGCCCGTCCTTTAGACACATCTTATAGTAGCCCCGGCAAAGGTGAGCAACGCTGGGGGAGGTTGGCTTACTTTTCCAACAAGGAGTATTTGCAGAGCGTGACCCTAAAAACCAAGATGCTGCCCAGGAAGGTGCGACCGAAGCTTCGCCTGTTTCTTAGGTGCATTGCGGCCATCGCAACCACCACCTTGAATTTTAGGACCGCACCCTCTGGACAGCCCTGCTCCGACCCTCCCGAAAAGCTGCAGGAAGCCATGAGCAGTATTTCGGGGGGTGCATGTGTGTGTGTGTCTTTTTGAGCTAAATTTTGGGAAAGAATGCAGCGTGGCCTCTTGGAAGCAGCCCTCTTCCATTTCCCCCATTCCCACCCTCTTAAAAAGCCCCCAGGCTAAAGAATCAACTTCAGTAGATCAGTTTGGTGCAGATTTTCAGAGGTTCAGTGGAGGGGGGGGCACTTTGCTTCCTCCCAGCTTCCATTTCCTCCCTTCATTTTGCAGAAGTAAGCTTCTACTTTTTGAATCTTACTGCTGAAAATGGGCCATTTCTCCACTGAACTTTGTTGCTCTGATCTTGGGGTGCTGGAGGCCCACAAATGATGCATTGGGGGGCACCTGTAGCTTGTCCTGGCAGAACATGGCAGAAGAAGGATTCACTGCCTGGCATGTGCCCCTTTTGCCATGTTTCTGTTCTGGGGAGAATTCCTAGGGAGGAAGGAAGGGAGGGAGGGAGGGAGGAGGAGGAGGAGGAGGAGGAGAAGGAGAAGGAGAAGGAGAAGGAGAAGAGCATGTCCCAAGCATTGCTGGCAGCACATATCAACCTGAGCGCAGCAGAAGTGCTCCAACAGACTTGATGCAAGGATCGCATTGTGGATGGCAAAGAGAGCCAGTCCAGAGCAGTGTATCCTGCAGAGCCCCCACAGTCAGCCTCTTTGTTGGGCCAGCTGTGACGTGCCGTAGCCCCGCTCTGTGCAAAGCAGCGTCTGCTGTTCCATGCTGGTTAAATGAAGGAGCCCAGCCGTCTGCGAACTGGCGCTTTCCGAACGTGATGGGACTAAAACCTCCCAGTTCTCCGCAGGTGGGAGGGCACCAGCTTGGAGAAACGGTGGGCTTTGCTAGGCCCTTGTCTTCCCGCAACCCCCAGCTTGCTTTTCTCACAGCCCTGAGGTGGTTTCTCCTCCACCTGCTCCTTTGAGTCACATCTGGCTTTCCTGCAAGGACACTGGGGGAGATGCGGTGCCAAACGGGAGGCTGGTCCGAGTTCCCCAAAACGCCCAAAAGGGTTCAGGTCACCTGCAGATCTGTCCCCAGCGCTCTTCCCGGACTCCTGGGGTGGATACTTGCCCCCCTGCCCCTGGGCTCCCTAGTCACATACAGGGGGCTGTGCCCTTTGCCCCCTGTGCCCGTGGCAGCCTGCAAGCAGAAATGCCAGGGCTGCTTTGGCCAGCAAGGCTCGAGGGCTAGTGTGCCACCCTGCCAACTTGATCCACGACCACCTGTGGAGGCTTGCCCCTTGGGTAGAGCAGTGCTTGGGCAGAGGGGAAGCCAAGAACAAGCCCCCCTCCCCCGGCAGGGGTCGTCACTTGAAAGGAAGCCTCTGCTGTCTTGCAACTGGATGGTCAGTGGAGGAAACGCAGCCACGCCTGCTTTGGGCCAGCAGGGGGCGGCATTGCTCCATGGGATGAGTGTGGTTTGGCTCCTTCTCCCCTCCCCACAAGGGATGCCCCCCAAAGGTGCAATTTTGCTTTCCTGAAAAGGCCCAGGCCAGGCAGCTGGAGAAGGCGTCCCCCTTGTCTGCAGACCCAAATGTGACGGCTGGAACTGAAGATCTCTCCGCTTAAATCTTGATGGGTTCGCAGGGTTGGGATGTGGGGCCAGCCCCAGCTGTGCACTGGATGGGCCGTCCTGCATCCAACCCTGAGCTTTGACCCGGGGATGGAGTCTCTCTCCCCAGGGGGCCTCTGGCTGGCTGGCGGGTCCTTAGAAGACTTGAATCTCGGGCTTCCTCCAGCTTCCTGGTGTTGGATGGTCTGGGCATGTCCCCGGCCGCCTGCCACGGTTGGGGGAATGCATGGAAGCTTCCCCCCCCATGACCTTTTCACCCTGTTGCATGAGATGCCCCCTTGTGGAGGGTGGGGGCTGCTCCCCCCGTGCCCAGTGCGCCAGTGGCCAGGATGGGTGGCGCACCTTCCCTCTGGGTCTCCTTGCGGGCCAGCAAAGGGGGCAGAGTGGAGCAGGTGGGGCGCAAGGAGGCAGTTGGGGAATCTGGGCACACCCCAGCACTGGCCCATAACGTCTCCTTGTCTCTGTCTCGCAGCTGGGGCTTCACCGTCTTCTTTGAGAACGAGAAGCAGGAGAAGCAGCAGTGGTAAGGGGGCTGGGGGGGCACGGAAGCGGCGTCTGGGTTTTAAGCCCCTCCTGTCCCATGCCTAACGGCCCAGGGGAAACCAGGAGGAAAAATGGTTTCCTGCTGAAAATCAGTGGGGTTCAACCCCACCTGGCATCTCCCCTTAGCCCATCCCAACAGTTCAGGATTTGGGGAAACGTTGCTTGCTTGCCCTATTAGACCAGCCCTGCAGGAGTTGGTCCCAGCTAGGAACGTTGGATTGCACAGCCAGCAAGGCTTTGTGCTTCCTGGGTTGATGGGGACTGTAGTCCCTCCTGCCTGGCCAGCACCAGCTTAAGAAAGGCTGGTTGTAGAGATTCTTTCCATCGATGCTCAGGAGCTCAGAGGTCCCCACGACGCTAGCTGTGATTGGCGTGGGGCTTCTGCCTGCCTTCCCCCAGTGCCCCCTTCCCCCCACCCTCCACGCACAGTAAAGCCGGACCCGGTGGGAGCCCGGAGTCTGGCCGGCAGCCTGCGCCCTCCTTGATCCAACAGGCGAGCGGCGTTCGTGGCTTTGCTGGCGACCTCCTCGCTGCAAGTCAGCTAGCGCGATGCAGCACCAGCGAGGCAGCGGGTCCACCAGTTCTCCTGCCTGGAGGCTCCCGCCCCAGCAGCGCTTCTGTGGGGCAGGATGGGGGTCCCCATGTCCGCTCACCCTTCTCCCTCCTCTGGCAGGTACCTCTGTTGCGACACCCAGATGGATATGCGGATATGGTTTGCGACCTTCCTCTCCGTGCAGGTAAGGCAGGGCGGGGCGGGGCAGCCTCAGCCTGGCGGGGCGGGCAGCCATTCCAGGAAGCGTCTCCCCAACGCCTGCATCCCGGGGGTTGGTGTGCGAGTTCCCCTCCTGGACTCGGCGGCAGGCCTGGCACCCCGCTTTGGGGTTGGGCGTGCCCTGAGAATAGAGCCTGCCTCGGTGAGCCAGAGGGGCGTGTTTGCACTGCAGGCCGTATTGCCCCCTCGCTGTTTGAGAGCAGAAGCTCTACCGGGTGGAGAATCTCTTTCTGAGCTCTGGCAGTTGCTGGGATTTTGGCCTGGGCATTTCAGCTTCGCAGCCACGAGGGCTAGGAACTCCTTTCCCTCTTGCCATCCAGAGCAGGCCTCTGTGCGCTCCCTAAGGCAACACCAGCAGGGGGCTTTTGTGGTCCCCAGCCCATCAAAGCCATGGGTGGCTCTCCCCAATTGTCCATTTTTTTGCGTGGGGTGGGGGGGTCTTTAGGAGCAACATGACTTAAGGTAGCCATTACTTCCTTTAAGCGCCCCCCTTTCTAATCAGGCCCTCTTTGGTTACAGCCCTGCCCAGTTTTGGAGTGTGGCCCTGGGGCAAATGAAGTTCTGTGCCCCTGCTGCCCCTCCCGAAGCCCCCCAGCTGCCCATAGTCCCCTGACTGGCTTGGTTGGGGCTGAGAGGTCGGCACTGCTGAGGAGGGGTGAGGGGGTGACCCCGATGGAGGGGTCTCACTCTTTGGGCCGTTGATAGATTGTGCTTCCACAGGAAGACGGATGCATTGCTCTTAATCTGTCTCCCCCCGCCCCCAGCATGGAGGCAACATCTGGCCTTCGGAGTCCTCCAAGATCCGGACACCCCAGACGCAACCAGATTCCCGGCTGGGTAACATCTCACTGATTCCCCTGCGAGGCAGCGAGAATGAGATGCGGAACAGCGTGGCTGCCTTTGTGGCTGACCCCCTGACGGTGAGCCTAACGCCCTCCCCGCCCCTTCTTTCCTCCCCTCCCCTCCTTTTCTTCTCCCCTCCTCCCCCCTCCTTTCCTTCTTCCCTCCCCTCCCCAGCTGCCCTGGACCTGGGTTAGCTGGGATCCCGGATGGCTCTTCCCAAAGGTCCAAGCGGGGTTGGCTCCCCTCTGCGTGTCCAGGGGGCTCGGGCCTGAGGACACCCCGCCCTGTGCAGGAAGCCTTCTGACCTTGCCTCCTCCTCCCTCCAGCTCCTTGGGGATGTATGAATCCGGCAGTGGCACCCAGGTAAGCAGACCAGCTGTCCTGCAGAGGTCAGGGCAGTTTGCCCTCTGGCCGGGCGGTAGGACGCTTGGGAAGCCCGCTTCGCCCCCTCGTGCTGGTGAGGAAGCCCGGCTTGGCTGAAATTCTGGCCCAGCGTTTTAAAGGAGGCCAATGGTGCCCGTTGCCCAGATCCACCTCGGCTCTGGCCGGAGTGGCCCAAGAGTCCCCGGGATGCTGCCCCCATCCCGAGTCCTTCCCCACCCCAACCTTGCTTTCTTTCTCTTTCTTTCTTCTGCAGGTTGGACAGCGGAGGACAAGACCAGGGAAGGGCAGCCCAGAAAGCGAAGGGCTGGTCTGGTCCAGCAGGGTGGGGAGGGAGGGAGGGGTGCCCAGAATCAAAGACAGCCTTTTGGTGTCCCTGGAAGACCCAAGGCAGCAGCAGTGACCCATGCAACAAGCGGGGGTTTGCAGAGAGCCCTGGACCTGAAGCAGGTTGTCGAAGCCAGCGGGATCGAGATGGGCCTCCAGCCACGGTTTGCCACCTTCCTCGCCTGCAGCCTGGACCCTGGCTTCCTGGGGGCTTTGTTCACCCCAAAAGCTCCCCCAAGACCCTTCCTGCCCTTCCGTCATCTCTCGTGGATGTTTGATAGAAAGGATGCTGAGCTGGGTTGCATAGTCTGGGTTTTACCAGTAACTTGAACTTTTGCTGGAGACAAGGATGTTCTGGGTGGAAGAGGACCCCCTTTGCTTCCCCAGCAGACCGAGCTGAGTGGGGAGGAAGACCATGGAGGCCCCCTTTTTCTGCCTCTCAGCGGGGTGTTTGTGGTGGCTCTGAAGGGGCCTGCTGCCACACCCAGCATTTCAGCTCCTGCCCCCTTTTCTCCCTTTCTGGACCCGTGAAACCCTTCCATGGGGCACGGAGAGCAGGAGGAGGGAAGCTGCTTCCGGCAGGATGACCGGCCAAAACCAGCCTCTGATGCCTCCCCCTTGGGGTCCCCGCTTCTGCACCCACCTCTCTTCTGCTGCCCATCTGGAATCACCTGGAGGAAGGAGACACGGAGAGCAGCGTGGCTGGTTCAGGCCCGGCGGTCCTGCGAGGCAGGGGACCAACACTGCTGCTGGGGGGGGTTCTCTCTGTCCCCTCCTCCAGATGGGACATCAGGGACAGAAAGCCCAGCTTGCTCGGGTGCTGTGAAAAGGGATGGGCGCCATCTTTTCCAGACAATGTATTTTCTTCTTTTTGTAATCAGAATAAATTTATCAGAAGGAATTGGGGTAGGTGGGGGTCCTTGCCACTTGCATGAGGTGGCTGAGAGCTGAGGGGCGGGTTGGTGGAAGGCTGCTGCCCAGTGATGGGGGAGTGCGGGTTCCTGTGTTGCTCCGGCTGTGTCTAGGCCAGTGTTTTTCAAACTTGGCAACTCTAAGATTGACTCCCAGAATTCCCCAGCCAGCCTGGGTGGACTTCGACTCCCAGAATTCCCCAGCCACCAATTCTGGAGTTGAAGTCCACCCATCTTAAAAGTTGCCAAGTTTGGAAAACACTGCCCTAGATCCTGGATAACTGCATAAACTGCCCCCCCCCCAAGCTCCAGATGTTAGGTGTGCCCCAGTTTTGGATTTCTCCATGGAACCAGAGTTGGTTTGAGAAGGCTGCCTTCTTCCTTTGTCTGGAACTGGGGTTACTGATTTGGGTGGTGGCGGGGGGGGGGGGGGACAGAAAGACGTAGAAATTAGACAGGAATACCCAGAACATGGAGATGAATGGGCACAGAAGCTCTGGGGCCTGACTGGGGAGAAAGCTCAGGTGCCAAGCCAACCGCACGCACGCCACCCCATTGGGGCATTTGCAGGGGGCTGGGAGAAAGGTGGCCCACTGCAGCAGGAGACTGACCGCCCCCCCAACTTTTAAGGTCCTGCACTTGTTACCATGTTGGGCCAACCGCAAGACCCCAGATAGAAATCACCAGCCTTTGGCTGCCCTCTACAGGTCTCCCAACCCTGCCCTGCTCAGTCGAGGGCCTGGGGCATGGACTGGGCAGCAAGGGAGATGTGGGCAGGCCCCATGCTTTTGGGGCCTAGGCGCTTCCTCCCCTGCCTCTATTAAATTTTCCCCACTGGAGGAAGGAAAGCTTCTCGGAGGGTGCAGGGGAAGGAGCATCATTTGCATCTCCTCGGACCCTATCTGGAGTTCTGGGGCTGGATCAGGCCCTTGCCCACCTTCTCCAGCCTTCTGGTCACTCAGTGGTCAACTGGAGGCATCTGGGGAGCCCACAAGCCTGGGCCGGAGGGTGAGAGAGACCTTACCTGTCCCTCCCAGCAACCCTGGACTGAGGGCTGCTGCTGTTGCCTGGGATTCAGGAGGTGCGAAGCAGTCCCAATTCTCCATGAACCCCCCCAACCCCTCTTTCCACCCCCCAACTGGCTGCCATTCTCACAATTGCTGGCAGTGAATTCTTCTGTGGAACTGCAAACAGACAGTCCTTTGATCCTCCTCTCTCTACCTTTGGCTTCAACGGATGACCTCAAGTTCCCGCATGGTGAGGGAAGGAGAACCCCCTCGACATCCCTGTGCCAGGTGTGGTTTTGCACACCGGCTTTGTTTCTTCTCTCCCTGCCCCGCCTTTTGTTCCAGGCTGAACAGCCCAATTGTGGGGAGCCCTTGTTGGGGGGGCTGCTCCACCTTCCGTTTTGATTGCTGCGCGCTCAGGACTGAGAGCAGCTCCAAGAGGTTCAGAGGAGGGGGTGGTGGGATTAGAAACTAAGCCCTGCAAGATCTTGAAGGAGCTGAGCATCTTTATAGCCTGGAGAAGAGAAGGCCAAGAGGAAATTGGTTTATTTTATTTACTGGCTGGGGCTTATACCTGCTCCAGTCCAACAGGAAAGGTTGCTCTTCAAATATCTGCGAAGCTGTGGTCGGCAGAGTTTAGGAAGAAGCATCTTCATGGGGCTTTCTGTGCTGCTCATTCTCAGTTATCCAGAGACTGGGCACGTAGATGCAGACGTACAGCTGTCCTCGGTCGCTTTTCGAACGGAAAGGTCCTCTCATGCCCTCGTTCACTGGAGCGCCTCTTCCCACCTCAGTCCCCCCTCCTGGCCTGGGTTGAGCTTCACAAGCATCGAGGAGGGCCTCCGCTGAGTGCGGGGCCTCGTTCTGGGTGGGCTCCAAAGTACTACAGTTCCCATCCACTCTGGTCACTTGCAACGAGGCTTGGCCAGGCCCAGCCAGGTACTTTTCTCATGCTTCCTGGAGCTTTCCCGTTTGAGCACCGGTTCTCTTGGGAACAATTGCATGTTTCAAGAACCACCTTCGGTGGTTGGGTTAGCAATCTTCATCCTGGCGTTTTTCCACCTGCTGCCTAAGCTGAAATCTTCCAGAACAAAACCACCTCTCTGCTGCTTTGAGAGACTCTTCATCCTTCATACATTTTCCACTCATACCTTCCAGCAAATATACGCCACAGAGATTAGAGGAAGCAAACAGCTCAGAATCAATCTCAATCTTTCTCTCTCGAGCTCCATAGTTACGATGGAAACAATTACCTGTAGATGACAAACGTATTTGGCAATCTCTATTGACTGTGAGTGCAGGACACGGAGTAACAGTCTCAGGTAGCCAGAGGCAGATGCCAGAGGCATGTTAAGAAGAGCAGCAATTTGCCAAGGGACCCAACAGTGCCAAGAGGCAGTGGCCTCCCTTGGGCTGGATGCCCTCAAGCGGGCTGGACGTCCGTCCTTCAGGAATGCTCGGAGTTGGATCCCTGCTCTGGGAAGAAGGTGGACGTGGTGGCCTCGAAGGCCCCTTCCAACCCTGGGACTGAGTTCACACACTGCCTTAAGCCATGGTTTGTTTCATGAGTTTGTTGACGGACAGCAGATTGAGTTCACAGATGCTAAGCCCAAACTTAACAGTGCCCACTGCGGCTTGGTGTGATGTGTGAACCTGCTCTGTGAGCTTATGAATCGGGTGCTTTGGCTCTAACTTTATTGTAAGGTTCCTTGAACAGAATCCTGCACATCTGAAAGAACACCTCTCCCCCCCCCCTTGCCTTTACAGGCCAAGAAACTGGGGAGGGTCCCTTCTGAGACCTTGCCTCGTCCCTGTTCCTCCTCCAGACTCAGTGGCCTCTCATCTGACAGTTGCCTAGTCTGCAGCTCTTCCTCCTCTCTCCCACATACTGTTACGATTGGAAACCAAGTGGGGATACAGCCAGAGAGGGGAGGGGTACAGCTTTGCCTACTGATGACCCCAGTTCCAGTCCTGACCATGGCAGGCAAAGTTTGGAGCTGTTCCCATCTTGGTCTGCAAAGACGAAGTGAGCAGAAGTGATCTAGAGCAGGGCTGAGTGCGTTGCAGGCAAGCTTGTAAATTTTGCCCTGGGAGGGTGTTCAGACGAGCCCCTTCCTCTGGCAGCCTCCCTGGAGGGGCTCGTGGGCTCCTGACTTTGGGGAGAGGCAGCTTTCCCCAGCGTGCTTTTATCTCGGCATGGCTGGGAAAGGCGCAGAGCAGCTGCCCTGGGCTAGTGCCAAGGCAAAGGCCGCCTCTGCTGCTAATGGAAGAGACGCCCCCTTCCTCTGTGCTGGCTTCCTTGGCTATTAGGCCCCCATTAGCGGGAGGCCAGAGGCCGGAGCCAGGTGGGAGTTGAGGGCCCCGATGTGGACAAGCAAAGCAGCAGATGGAGGGACGCAGCTCGGGAAATTGACCGTATCTCTGCTAGGAGGGTCTTTTGTAAGGATTAAGGCAGCAACCCAAGATTGTCTGGCTCCAGGGGCTCCTTGTGGGTGCTGGAGCCCCATGTGGCATGCATGAGCTGAGAAGGCTTTGCACGTGGACCCCAAGCATAACATCACAGAACGGTGGGGATGATCACCTACTCTGGCCCTAGTCCGGTTCTTTTTCTGGGAGGCAAAATAGGTTGACTGACTTTGGTTGTTCCCACGATGCATGGGATTAGTTTAACCTTGGGTAGGACTGGCTCAGTTTTCAGAAAAATCTAGTTATTGGTTTTTGGGCGGTTGTTCAACACCTCCTCTCTCTCCCCACTGTCATTAGGGTGTTACTGATCTTTGTAATCAAGGAACTCTTCATCAGCATTCAAATAATACTCAAGGTTGGTTGAAGCCACTGGGAGACATTCTAGGGAGGGTGGATTTTTTTCGGGCATGCAAGAAAAATGTCTTCCTGGGAGTCTCAGGCTGATGTTTCCCCATGCAGGCTGGTAAAAGTCCTCACCGCACCTACCTCCTGCATGATCTCCAGTGTGGTGATCCTGGAGACCAGCAACAAGGCCAGATGCAGCAGGAGTCCCAAGGATTGGTGTGTGTGTGTGTGAGAGAGAGAATTAAGTCCAACAGCTGACTGTCACCCCTTCAAGAAATACTGGAACTCTATTGATAGAAGCTCCAGGAACTGAATCTTGAAAGCCTGACAGCATTTCCCGTTCCTTATACCAAAGAGAATCAAGGTGGAGTCACTCTGTTTCTTCCTAACACCTTTTTCCACTCCCGGGCTTAATTCATATTCTGCTCACTGCCACATTCCTCCTCCAAGATCATCTCTGGGATTCTGGGCACCCATATCCTGCTTGTGGGCTCCCAATGGCATCTGATCGAGGAAGCTCCCTGGCCTCTTTAGCCAAACCCAGCACACTTCTTAGGTCTGCATTAGCCATTCTGGGGAATAGCTGCAGCACTTCCTCCTTGAAAAGTGGGGAGGCCAGGCCCAGAAGAAGAGAGATTGACTAGGAGCTGGGCAATTAAGCCAGAAGGTTGGGGGTGCACCGTCTCCCACCTCCAGTTGCGGGAAACACAGCAAGAGTTTTGCTTTGCTTGGTATTTCCTTCCGCCTTGCAACTTTTGCTCCTCTCCAGCCCCCCGTCCAATTCCTCTGAAGTGGCTCGCTTGCTTTCCTGCCCGCTAATTCTCAAACTCTCTCCATAAAACCCGGCCTCGCCTTGACATTTGAGAAACCTCAATTTCTCGGCTTTTATGCTAGCCAGACTGATATTTACCCAGCGAGCTGTTTCTCAGGGTCTTGGGGAAGGAGTTGTGCTCGGCTGGCTGCGGCGGGGGGGGGGGGCGGGCGCCGTTGGCATTTTTGTGGAGCCAAAACCCCACGGGCGCACCCCACGCTG